GTTTCAAATTGCTGTACCACAAGAAGATAGGGTGTAGATTGTTCATTCTTATTAAGGGATCCAACTATACAATTTGCAATAAACCGTCCCTCACAATCTTGTGTTTCGTCGATTGATACCCACACAAAATTATCTTGAATCTTACCTCTAATGCTTTCAATTGTAAAATTGTAACACTGCTTCATGTAATATTTGCACACAGTAGATTCATCTGGCACTTTGCACTGTGTATACTTCTCTATGCAGTTTCTCAGAGTAGGATTGGTTAGTTTCCACAGCAGAATATCTGCCGCTAAAAAGGCTTCACATAAATCAAAGAAAAACTGTGAAAAACTATTATTAGAAAATTCACTAAGCAATTTTTGAGCAGGAGCACTTTTCGTGGATTTAATTTTAATATTCTCTTTGTGTATATTAGTGTTCAAATGCTGAAGCACTTGAAAGCGTTTTTCACACGCTCAGCAATAAAGAATTTCCGTATTTATCATCTCTCCTTCAAACTCCCGCTGATCCAGCTGTTATTTATTTTTCTGACTTACTTTCACTTCTGGTATGACTAGAGAAAGCTAAACAAACTTAACTACAGACTAGTCACCACTAATGTGAATGGGCCCCAGCTTCAAATGAAGAAGCGTAACGAACCTCATGGACACTTTGGAAATAAATAAGTGAAGTTCCTTATCAGTTGAATAGTATTACGTTGATAGCGGCTACATGTGAATGCTTCCAACTAATCTCTTCGCGGCCACTTTGATGGTATGCAGATGAGGCAAGTTACCAGTAGAGGGATCGGGGAAGTCCCATCCTAGGTACTGCATCAGAAACATGAATCATGATGAAATGTGAAGTCAAACATGCAACATATTCTAATACGGAAAAGAAAAATTGTATACACATGACCATGATTGAAAATTTGAACATAAAATTAAAAAATATATATAATAAACATTTTAAAAAAGGAAATACGCAGTATAAATAGAGATCTTCGAAAATATGATGCTTATTCATAAAACAGGCAAAATATGCATTTATATGCACCATCAAACCATGTCCAAAATTTAAGAAATGAAGTAATTCATACATATATCCAAACGAGCATACTTTCTGGTTGCAAGAAAGAAATATGCATTTGCATTAAAATCCGGTCCCTAGTAATAATATACTGTAAGGTACTGATTGGGGAGCAACCCCTTCTATGATGTCCAGTTATTTCACTGCAGACATCATCTGTTCCTCAGTAAGTGCAAATCAAGCATGTCACAGGCTTGAAAAGCTTCACAGTTTAGTGATTCACCATCAAATTAGGAACACAACCATCTACAATTTAAAATAAGGTTGCCGGATTTGCGGATCTCACAGTGGTGACTATGAAGGGTGGGATCTTCTGGGATACAGCACCATATAGTCTGGTAGAGATATGCCACAGTTTCAGAGAAACCACACTGGCACCTGCTTGGCTTACTGTTCAACCTTAATGGTGAAGGCAGTCATTTCGTCCAAAACACCAGTGAACTTCTACCAAACTGCATAGAGTTACATCCCAGAAGACAGTGCTCTTTAAAATATGGTTATAAATATATGAACAATCGGTAACGTTGGTTAAATAATTGATAATTTTCTACAAGTTTTTATCACGTTTTTGTTGGTCCCACTGAGTGTCCAAGAAAGAGAGTTAAATAATTTTGTTCTTAAATTTAGGTCCAATTATTTCCTGTACCAGTCAAACTTACACTTTGTTTCTGTGATCCTAGAGAGTTTTGAACCTATGGCTATCAGTTTATGCTAGGTCCTTTAATAGTCTAAAATATTTACCTTTCAACATATAGTCATGTCAAGAGTGTGTAAGTCAGGTTCACTGAACACAGCAGCAGCAAAGAGAATAACATAACACAACATATAGTTAGAGTACAGGTCAGTCAGATGGCAGAACTATGGCACTTAACCAAAAGGAAAGAGACCACTGGGGACAATTACGCATAATTGGAAGGAAAATATTAAAAATGATTTTAATTAGACAGTGCATGACAATGTGGACTAGGTTCATCTAGCTCATGATAGGGTCCAGTGATGGGTTCCTGGGTACAGAATCATCAGGTTCTGTTCCATGGAATTATAATAGGTGAGTTTCTGGGCATTATCCATCATCCTGTTTTTTATTTAAAGACATCCTCAGGTAAAAGTCTTACTCAGTTGGGCCCAATCATTAGAGCTAGTCCATATCTCCAGACTCAAAACTGAATTATTATATTAATATACCACCGTCACAAACTTTTGGATCTTATGTCCATGGAGTTGGTTCAACATACAGTATTTACATTTCACATGTGGGAGAATTCTGTCGCACACAGCAGTTAAAGGATCATGGGGTCCATGTGCCACTCATTCTCTTAATGTGATAATTTATTTCATGAATGTATACAAATATTTTTATTATTCCATACATACGTATAGGCAACAGAAAATGTTTACTAAGAATAACTGAATAGTGTAGCTATCACATGTCGGTTGAGAAAATAAAAATAAAAATTACAGATTCAGGTCTATTACACCGCAGTTCTCACCAATACCTTAATTCTTCTGTTTTTGTAACTCCACTTCTGACAAGTCCTTCAGTACAAAAAAGAATGGCTTCCTATGGAGACAGGTTGCTCCTAAATGAGTGAGATTTGACTGCCAGTAGTGCACAAGGTCTTGCAATGTCTCTCTCTCCATAATTCCTGGGCACTGGCGTGCTATTCGAACAGCCTCATCCTACATGCCAACAAGAAAATATTAAATACAGGTAACCATAAGAGAAAGGGTCCTGACTCTAAGCGAAGAAAACATTAGGTACTTTGCCCACACTGTGACTTTTTCAATTCATACAAATAGTTTATCTTAAATGTAACTTTAAACTTCAAGATTTTCATAAATTTTTATCGCTGACTTCATACATGCATAACAACAATTAAATGCAGTTCAGATTGTTACCACCAGATAAAGTTGGATCTAACCAAAATTCATTTAAGATATTAACAACTGTTTTCAAAAAGACTGTTCATCTTGTCAAAGAAACATACGTTACATACAGTTTTCTCATAGGTTATATACATTTTGTCCACTTAACTCGAATGTTCTAAATATGAATTCTAGCTTCCACATGAAGCGGCCACTTGACAAATGTACCTGAAATTATTTTATGTTGAATTTTATTAAGGACTCCCAATATTAAATAAACATCTAAATCTATAAATATGAACTTATTATTCCATTTTAAACCAGGTATCAAAACTGACCACATACATATGTACTAACTTCACGAAAATCAATGAAATGGGTGGTGGTGTTTTTCCACACGTACAGACGTACAACAACAAACAGTCCTTTCCTGGGGAAAGAAACCAAAGGCTATGAAAAGAAGTATCTCCAACCTGCTGGAAATCAAAGCCTGGTCTTCCAGTCAATATCCTAATCACTGTACTGACTGCATGGCTCCCAAATGCATCAGTTAGAGCTCTCAAAGTGTGGCATAAAATTACCATGACAGAATTCTTTAAGTTTTATATACTATCAGGAATGTGTATCTGAAAAAGTGAACTTACATTAAATTTAATACAAACCCTTATATAACATTTCACTCTCTCTGGCCGGCATTTCTCCAAACAACTAGAGCCATTTTTCTTGATCAACTCCAACACATCCTTCAAGTCATTTACTCCATAGAAACTGATATTACTTGCTGTTTCTGTCAGCATGCAATACGCCCTGCCTGATCCTGCAAAAGTTCAGGACATTTGATCATAACCAGTGATATCCCAAGTATGTGATTGATATCCCAAGTATGTGTTTCAATCACAAAATTTCAACCTAAAAAATATTTTAAAACAAGTACAGAAAGACTTTCAGGTACCCACATTTTTGGTAAATATCATAGGAAAGAAAACAATTAAAACTTAATAACACATTAAGATGAAAGAACATGCCATTTCACGTATTTATGTGTTTCTGGAAAAAGTATTCCGTTTGCATTTAAGGACATGAATGGGTTAAAGGATTAAACAAACTACCCTTAATGATATGAGCCAGGATAGGGTGGTCGGTATAGCAACTGGCTATAGGCTGAATGACCAAGAGGTTGGAGTTTGAGTCCCAGTAGGGTCAAGAATTTTCTCTTCTCCATGTCATCCAGACCGGCTCTGAGGTCCGCCCAACCTCCTATCCAATGCATACTGGGGGATCTTTCACCGGGTGTAAAGCAGCCGGGGCATGAAACTGAGCACTCACCTCCAGGTAGTAACAAGGTCAAGAGAATGTGGCTCTATACATCCACTCCCCCATACATCTTCATGGCATAATAATTAGTTAAGCGCAAGGATATCTTTACCTTTAACTTTTACCCTTAATGATATAGACTACACAGCTAAGGAAACATTATTAAACAAACTAAGACACTCAGTGAACCTAGCTCACACACAATACAAACCCTAAACCAAAAACCATCTCACATAAATATCACATTTATGTAATCACTGTTTAAGTATTCTGCATTCTCCATTCCTGTATCAATCAATTTGCATGTTCCATCTTCCTAATCATTTAATGGATTCTGATGAATGCTGAAGCTCTTACCTTCTGTTAATTCAATTCTGAAGCCATTTTTTGAGATGACATCACTTGTGATAATTACCGCATTTTTAATTATATCATATGTTTTCTTCAACGAAAGTAAAATTTTCCAGAGTTCTGGACCTAGAATGCTGAAAGAAAATATTTGTATTGAAAATAGTTCCATTTTTCCCAGTCCCATTGCTACAAATTTGTCTTATTAAGCAGTTTGTGACAGTCAAACTGCTGGTTTTATTATTAGGTAAATTTTAAATTTGATTTCATTAAATTCATCACTGATACACAACATACACGTAATTTCTACTTGCTGAATTCTGTAAAAAGTAATGGCTAAAATGTGTTTGTTCAAGAAATTAAGCAGATTACAAAGATACCTATCATCTCTTAATTTGACATTAACTTTATCAACGTCTGGCTGTGTTACTGTATGGATTCTAATAATGGTCACTTAAGTTCTTTAGTCCTGGCAAGTTAAAATATGTGGTGCCACCTGTGTTTCCACTTGAATTTCCTCAACTGTATCAAATCTTCGCTCCTTAAACTTGATTTTCATCTTGCGGAAGAGAAAGAAGTCGCATGGAGCTAAGTCTGGCGAGTAGTGTGGGTGGTGAACAACTGCCATCTTGTTTTTAGCCAAAAATTCCTGCACAATGTAAGCCATATGCGGTCATGCATTGTCATGGTGGAGTACCCAGTCATTCGTGTGCCACTTCTCTGGATGTTTTCTCCTCATGTCCTCCCTCAAATGCCTTAGAACATCGCGACAGAACTCTTTATTGACTGTCTGACCAGGAGGGATGAATTCCTTATGAACAATCCCGTCAATATAAAAAAAAAACAGATCACCATGGACTTAATGTTGCTCTTGACTTGTCGAGCTTTTTTGGCCAAGGTGAAGAACGGCTCTTCCATTGTGATAATTGCTGCTTACTTTCAGGGTCGTCGCCATAAACCCAACTTTCATCACCAGTGACAACCTTTGAAATAAAGTCTGGATCCTCTTGAAGCTGCTGTTGAAGTTCCCTGCAGACTTCCAAGCAATGCTGCTTCTGTTCATTTTGCAGCAGTCATGGCACAAACTTCGCCGCAATCCTCATGTTCAGTTCCTCTGACAAAATTCGTTGACATGTACCATAACTTAGCTATGCTACAAGCTGGAAGGTCGCGGGTTCAAGTCCCGATGAGGTCATTTGATTTTTTCAGTTGACCTAATCCTTCCAGTTGCACTAGGCCCTGGGGTTTACTCAGCTTCTAACAGAAATGAGTACCGCGAATTAATAAGATAATTTTCCTGGGGGGTAAAGCGCGGCCGGTGCGTAGGGCTGACAACCTTACCGCCATCTTTGAGACGACTGTCTAGACAATGTGGGACCCTCAACGTCTCACAATCCTATGGGCCTTCACAGCTTGGTACAGGGTTAGCTTTACTTTTCTTTTTACCATAACTTAGTCCCAAGGTGTTACGAGGTCCTGGATGGTCAGTCTACGATCTTGCAGAATCAGATCCCTAACTTTCATGACATTTTCTGGTGTGGTGTCAGTTGACAGCCGTCCCGAATGATCGTCATCATCAGTCGATGTTCAGCCATTTTTAAACCCTTATACCAGTCGTAAGTTTGTGTCTGGCCTAAACTGTTGTCACCAAAAGCTTGATTCAACATTTGGTGCATTTCTGCAGCGGTTTTCCCACGTTTAAAACAAAACTTTATACAGACATGCTGCTCTCTCAGGTCAGCCATTGTAAAACCGCAAACTCACGGAAATACAACAATGGAAATACATTCACCAACAATAAACCCAGCCACTCAACTCAACACCACTTGCCACACTGATTCAAGGAGGGTATGTGGGGATATACCTAGTGGTATTTCGATGTACTCATAACCATTCACACACAAAATTCATATTTCGGGAACTTTTGGATTGCACCACGTACATTTCTTGTGTTAAAACCTATATATATAAAGAATTCTCATACAGAACAAAATTCCAGCACATTGGATTTGAGGTTTTCACAACAACCAAGAAGCAAGCTGAACAACCTGCTGCTGGCTTCTTGTTCATTGTCTGTTTAGCATATCTTCAACACTGAAGATGGAGGCAGTGTTTTCCTTTGAAATGGTGGTGAACCTCTACCAGACTACACAACACCACATCCCAGATGATGATACTCTTCAAAATATTTTGGTCCTGTGAATCTTTCTGGACGGAGATTTTGCTTACCAGTACTTACTTTTATCCTACATACATATGTAAAATTCACTTCACCAGTGAGCCACAAGTTAAGTACCTTTCATCAAGAGGGATGCTGGAGTCCAGCTTCATCAGAGGAATACTATGATCCAACATCAGTCTATAATAGACAACTGTTTCTTGCAAACCCCAGTGACGTACTACACCAATTTCATTCTCTTTCCTGTACAACCAAGTCCCACTTGGACGGAGTTGCCCAATTAGTATAGGAACTATATCCCTGCAAACAAAAATAATATGTAATAAATTAAGAGACAAAACTTCATGGAAATAGCTCATACTGGCTAGGTTTCCTATGCGGAAAACATATACTGTAATATCTCTAAAATTTTCATTAAACTTTAAATGAAACCAAAATGTATTCCTTTCCTTCAGTATCAATTTATCTTCATAATAATGGTAATAATCTACTGTGGGGGTATCTGGTTCAAATTTTGGTTAGAACAGATTTTTTGTTGTCTTACTGACCAGACTGGTGAGTTCATCAAAATATTTTACTGATATTCATTAAAAATTAAAAATTGTACCTGGATGTTTACTCAGTTTCCCATAAACTAAATGAAATTGGCTCACATTTTATATTTTGCCAATTAAGGGAGGAATCCAATACTTGCGACATCATTTCTTTTTTTCCTCTTCAAAAACACAAAGGACTACAATTTCAAAGTCAGTGAGCACTATGTCTGCGTATTACCTTCATGGAATTTATGCATATAGTAAACAAACTGAGTACGCAACCAGATAATCACTGACGTAAACAGTTGCTCAGACAGGCGTTTCTAACGCCTAACCACAGCCTACAGGACATGGTGTTTTCTATATGGTCCGTGCTGAGGTTATACAACAAGGACCAACTGGACAAGCAAGTGAGGTGACAGCTGCATTACATATCATAGCATCCTGTTGCACATCACTTATTTAGAGCAATGACTAGTGAAGAAACAGAAAACTTGCATGCTTTAGTTTTAGTGATCCACAAACGGTAAATTAGTGAGACTGTTACAGTTACTTGTAGTTATGGGTTACAAGCAATCAATAAATCCAATTTACAATTCAAACACGGTGTCTTAGCCACTAACACGTGACAATATTATTCTCCCATCTATTCTTAGGTCTCCTTCCAATATAAACTAATAATTACAGAATTTAGTATCAATTTGTGTGCATAACTTCCATTATTATGAACTCTTAACAGCACTGTATTTTTCAGATACAACCTTAAAGTTCCACACTGTCACAGTGTTTTTAATAGTTCAATAGTTATCATTATCATACAGCTAAAAACAAATTTTGTGTAATAGCCATGTCATACTTTTTTTATATTGTTCAATGTATGGGTGACTATAGATGGGGTTGTGATTGGTAACTGGATCTATTGAACATTTACAGATCGTAACTACAAGTAACTATAGCGCTATTGCTAATTCACATACTCAGCAGTTCATTACAGCATGTACTGAGTCTTCTCAGTCTGCTGTGTCTTCACCAGTTGCCTGGTAACGGCTTACAATNTTATGTTCTTCAAAAATATGGTACTGTATATACAGTTATATTAGTGTTTAATTTTTGGTAAATTATACTGCCTTATTGATTTACATTTCTTTTTGTGAACTTTGAAATAAGTAGAATGGGATATAGAAATGTGTATAAAGTAAACCTTATTTTTTGTGTGATTCTAATTTGTTCTGACAGCGTCTGTAGTATTTCCATTGTACTTTCATAACATAAGATGCATGTCCACTAATTCAGGACCTGAATAGCCACTTCTGTGCCAGATCAGTATGTAACAAGCCTTCCCATGCTCAGATTGCTTTAGATTGGCTTGAAATGTATATATTAGTTGTTATGTGTCTGCGTACTGTACAGCACTATAAATTCAGATCTCTACTGTCAGGTACTGTGAACATAACCCAGAGTTCAGTATCAAGTGGACATCTATGAGGGGCAGTCAAATGAAAATGGGTCAGAAGCCAAAACATATTAAAGAACATTTCTTACCTCAAAAGTAATCTCCAAAACTGTCAATACATTTATCCCACTGGGAGATAAGACGGTCAATCCCATCCTTGAAAATGCTTGTGGGCCGTCTATGGAACCACATCTTTACCCAGCCACCATATCTTAGTCCGATGCAAACCGATGTCCACGAATGTCTCTCTTCAGGTCACCAAAAAATGTGAATTACACATGGGGAGAGATCTGGGCTGTAGGGGGGATGGTGAAGCACTTCCCAACCAAATCTTTGTAGCATATTCCTCACAGAGTTGGCAGTGTGGGGGCGCGCATTATCACGAAGAAGGATAATGCCGTTCGATAGCATTCCAGGGCGTTTTGTCTTTATGGCACGTCTCAGTTTCTGCAAAGTGTCTTCATAGGGCTGTGCACTGATTGTGGCCCCATGCTCGAGAGATTAGCCAAGCAGAGGGCCCCTGCAATCGAAGAAGAACGTCATCATCACTTTACCGGAACTTGTGTGTATGGCTTTGGATTTCTTCGGTGGGGGAGAATTCACATGTTTCGACTGTTGGCTCTGCTGTTTGCTCTCAGGTTCAAAATGGTGGCACCAAGTTTCGTCCCCAGTGGCAATACGGGACAGAAAAGCATACTCTTCCTCATGGCATCATTGAAAGTGACCCCGTGATGAAGCCATTCTCTGAGTCTTCTGTTCCTCCGTGAGCTGATGTGGAGCCCACTGTGCACAGATTTTGTGGTACAGCAGGTGTTTTGTCACCATGGCGTGTACGGAACTATGACTTATTCCCAACAAAAGACCAATTTCTTTAACAGTGATCCGTTAGTTTGCCCAGATATGACCATCCAATTCAGCAATAACATCTGGAGTGATGACACAATGAGCCTGTCCTGGGCAAGCATCATCTTGCAGTGACACACGTCCCTCTCAGAATCTCTTATGCCATGCCAGCACACACAAACGTGACATGCTGTGTTCGCCATGAACAACAGACATGCGATGATGAATTTCTCGTCCTCCTACTCCTTCAGCAGTCAAAAAGCGCACTACACTTTGCTGTTCTTCTTTACCCGCCTCCATTACTGATGTTGGACGACCACATGTAGCGCTAACCTTACTTACAGCACAATAAACAAACGACAATTGTGCAAGGGCGCGTTGTCACCGTGCTTTCCCGAGTCCCCACCAGATGTTCCTACCGTAAGCAAATTCCAGTGTTACCAACTTGCACGCTGTGTAAGTTATGCATGGTGACCCGTTTTCATTTGACTGCCCCTTATACAAAAATATGAAAATAAAGTTATATCCTTTTTTAAGATTTACCACCACACAGAATTTGAAGACTAAATTAAGGGTTTTGGTGCTATTTCTACTTCTAAGGTCTTCACAACCATAGTTCTTATATTATTGACAGTATGAAATTAAATGTATGGAGGTTGAGTGACCTCTATTGGCATATTTAAGTAACAAGTTTCATATAAATCTGTCACCTGGTTCGGAAATTATCAGAAGTGGATGTAACATGGAAAGACAATCATATAGCCACAATGTTTGTCCTTATACAATAAAGGAAGCTGGCCAAAAATGACAAAATAAGTTTCAGCTTGTTTCCAATACTCACATTAATTCATTATGTGCTGGAACACAATCTTCTTTTAGTTTGTTTAATGATACATCCAGGGCCATCTCCCTTCTGTATGGTCTTTGACAAATCTTCTTGTTCCAACTTTTACTCATAAAGCTCTTCACACTCATTACTTGTTCCCCACTAATTCTGTCAGCACTGTACTTGCGTTTCTTATCCATTTCTTTTGCCAGCTTCTCATATTTGATGTGCTCTTCAACTGGAAGTGCACGCCACCGTTCCACAAGGAGCTCAGAAACTTTGGTGAATGCAATACCAGGGAACTCTTTTAAGACTGAAATTGATGATGGCTGTCGGTTAATTAGACTAAGCATAAGCAAGGCAAAATGAAGTAAATTCAAAATCATACTACTGTTAGGGTGCAGGTATCAGATTAGACATCCAGGTTACTATGTTTTGTGGTTTATTTAAGGGTGATGATAGTGACAGTACTTCAGAATGATTCAATTAATTATGAAATGAAAAGGATATGGAAGAAATCAGTCAAAGCGATCCTCAGATTTGCCTGAAGGAAGCCACGAAAACTTCTGTTGGATGACCTGGTACCGCAGTTGAGATTAGAATCAGTTACCTCATGATTACAATTGATGATAAAGCTTGAGCTGATTACCAAAGTCCAAGTTACTATGGTAGTTGTAGATGAAACATGCGTGACAACAATGTAGACTCTATTTCTGGGTGACAGCATCACACAGTAGTAAGCTGTACTGCATATCTTTTGGAGATCACTACTGCCTTTGTCTTCCATGTCTAAGTCTAGTTTTTTACAGTGAGGAACAGTCAACCTGACTCCAAAGCTGGCGTACCCTTTGCCAGCTGTTCATGGGTGTTCATTCAGTAATTGTATGGAGTTATGTTCTGCACATTGCTGATGGATGGTCAAAGACAAGTTCAGAAACTTAACTTTCAGGACAGCATCTGTGAAGTTCAGATGTACGGCATGCATTGTAAATCAAATAGAAATAATGAAGATGGCAGGACAATCAGAAGAGCTTGAACACTGCTTTCAATGGCACATATTTAATAGGTATTTTTATTATACTGGCAATGATCTTGAAATCATAAGGGTTTATGCATATGTTGTACAAGCCAGCCTAGGTACAAAGTTTATTATAATAAAATCTGACACAGGACTCAAAACGTGTAAAGTTTATACAAGTCTTTGAGTAAAATGGCCCTTAAAATGAAATAAGTAAACCAATATCAGCAAAGATCAATAAAATTATGTGTGGGAGTACCACAATGAGTTTCATTTAAATTTATATTGTAGTAAGGGCACTTTTACTTGTGGACAAGTGAAAAGTTACCTTTAGGACGCTCCTGTCTTGCAAATTTTGTGAAGGCACTCTGCTCCTTACAACCCATTTGACTGCTCACACTGTGGTTGGAAGAGTTCAGAGTTTCAGCCATCTTTCGGGAGGTAGCTGATTTTGGTAATAACACTGAAGGACCCTGCAAACATCCTCAGTTTTCAAACTCACCCACTGAGAAGTGTCATATCTGTCACTCTGTATACTCCACTCTGGATGCAAAGATATTGTCACATATGAAGGGTTAGCATGACTGATAATGGGTCCTAGATTTGAAGATTAGGTTTATTGAACACTTCTTCATAATTACAATCAATTTTAGCGCTATCGCTGATCTTCACAATTCACTAGGACATGCTCCAGTCTCATCCTCATATATTCCAACTACTACTAGCTTCAAAGTCAAAGTCACATTGCGACTGACAATAAGTCTTGGCGTCGAGCACCATATTTATTACCGACTAGCTGTACCCAGCCACGCGTTGCTGTGGCAGATCGAGTGAATTGCTTCTGCTCTGCGAGTACGACGACCTAAGTTTGATCTTCTGCAAGGCATTATTTGGATGAACTAAAGCAGATCGATTGTACTGAAGAAGAAGAAGAAAGAAAGTTATAACAAAAACACATAAAATTGCAAAACATTAAAAAAGGAAAGAACATGAACTGGAAAACAAAGAAATAAAAAAATAAAAAATACCAACGAAATATTGCAATTCAAACGCAGATCAATTGACACAGCTCACTCCCACCACCAACTGCACTGAAAAATAAGGAGAACAGTTAAGAAAACGAAATGAAGAACAATGATAAATAAACTATACTCACGAAATGAACGACGTATAACACGTTACAGTATATTAATATTGAGTACAATTAATATTTTAACAACCAACCAACCTGTCACAGGTGTGACATATGTCACACATGATTTTAACATCATAAAGTCTTAAAATATATTTTTAGGAGTGACATATTCTTGATGTCCTTTAAATTGTTGCATTATTTATGTGTACTTTGATAATAAGAATATGTCGCGTGTTATCTATGTAATGTTGTTGTGGTCACATGTCTCCTATTCAGTGCGACAAATAACTTCCACGTACATATCGGATTCAGCGAAGAAGTTATTGAACGCTCACTTTTACACCAGCGAGTACAATTATTATCACGTCCAGTATCACCAAAAAACTCTTCGGAGCTGGACTGTTATAACCTGGTTTCAGACGCAATAGAGGGCACTTTCGCTCAGGGTTCGATTTCCCGTGTTCTGTGCTCGTTGCCACGGTTATTCCTAGGCAACGATCTGTTGGTATTCGATGGACGACAGAACATCCTGTAGAAGTGTTTGGTTTCATCCATCGTTACGTAACGGAACCTCTTCTCCTCTTATCTCCAGGGAAACGCGTTCGTTGTTTCGGCAATTCCTATGCAACGGCCCACTGTTATTACGTTTCCATGGAAGTATACTTTCTGGTTTCATCCGTTGTTACGCAACGGAACCTCTTATCCTATGCAACAGTTCTAGCATTACTATGGAAATGACTGCTGGATGTAAAAACATGTGACATGTTTTTACCTGTTTTTACCTGTCACAGGTGTGACATCTATATAATAGCTATATAAAAAAACGCGTGTATTCGAATGCAACATTGTGTCAAAATTTCAAAGCAATTGGTGAAGAACTTTCGGAGATCTTCGATCAGAGACAAACGAACATTTACATCTTTATTTATATAGATTGACAGTTATGGGCTGTTTTTGTGGGGGGCCCTCTCTGACGAGAGGATGGGTCTGTCATTTGTACATGCTGCTGGCCATTACCAGCGCAGTCTTTCTCGAGTTCAGGTCCCTTAGGACTCGCAACCATATTTTACTGTCTCAGATTTGATACTTCCCTTTTCATTGCCTCCTATGACGCACAGGGTCAGGGTGGAAGTATTCGACCCCACCTCCACACAGGTTACACTACTAGACTTTGAAGCTAGTAGTGTAACCTGCGTGGAGGCGGGGTCAAATACATCCGTGACCCTGCAAGTCGTACGAGGCAACGAAAAGGGAAGTCTCAAATCTGAGACAGTAAAATATGGTTGTGAGTCCCAAGGGATGCAGACCTGAAAAAGAATGTGCTGGCAAGGACCAGAGAAAAGGGCACAGACCCAACAGAAAACACAGACTGTACTGTTGATGAAGCTTGTTTACCTCACTGTTGCTTAGAAATGGACTCCCTATTCTTGTCACGCACTGAAGTGAAAAGATCTTTACCAAGCTGCTGCCTAGCAAAGATCATTTTCCTCTGTTGTTATGGAAACGGTAATTTTGCTATTGTTGCCTGCATTAAGAATGTGTTTGCCTAGCAAAAGGTATTTTCTGAAGAAAGCAGTCTTCTGGGATTTGGCATCGTGTATATGTGGTGTTAACCGACGTTTCGGAGGAACGTATCGCCTCCATCTTCAAGGTAGAAGGAAAAATATAAGAAATCCGCAAGCGAAGAGACCATGAGAACCGGTAAAAGCAGACTGGTCATCTTCATTATCTGAGAAAGCACAGGAACAAACCGACAAACTCTTTTTCCAACACAAACAAGAAACTCGATTGAATGACTACAAAACCTGCCGCCAGCAGAACACAGATATTCAGAACTACCAACCATCATTATGTTCAAATAACTAACACCAATTAATCTATTTTGGCATATAAGTGCGGTGAATTTAAGCTCCATACATAAAGCTCGCAAGCTTTTTTTTAGAAATGACAACATGGGTAAACATAAACCTACAGGATAGAGTGTCCCACATTACTTTAAGGGTCTCTGATTTGGGGTGGGCAGAGTATTTGGGGGGCCAGGGTGCATATTGGTTTATAATGTATTTGAGTAAGGTTAATCAGTGGTGATAATATAATTAAACAAACCAACCTATATTTGACAGAATAAAACTGACACCAAAGACATCAAAAGCCCCCATGCACCATACACCAAAATATATTAAAGCAGAAAAGTAACTGGGTCTGCTTTTACCGGTTCTCACGGTCTCTTCGCTTGCGGATTTCTTATATTTTTCCTTCTATCCTGAAGATGGAGGCGATATATTCCTCCAAAATGTTGGTTAACACCACATATACACGGTGCCAAATCCCAAAGACTGCTTTCTTCATAGTCACCGCCGTGAAAGCCTCAAATTTTACACAGGTATTTTCTGGTTCCATAGCTTAATGCTCTGCACAAATACGTCACAATATCAATTATATTTAGAATTTACAAAACAACAAGTCATATTCATTCACCACATTTTTATATACGTCTCAATAGTATGGATTCTGGATCTGATACACACAGACAAGAAATTATGTTTGGTAAAGTATATTACTTGCCTATTTTAAACACATTATGCAAAAAATTTGAAGTTGTGATGAAGTTTGTACATAATCTCACAACAAATAAGAAACGATATAATCCAAACTTTATACACCAAGATATCACGACAGAACCGCCACTGCAGAAACTTGTGAAGAAAAGAATATAGTAATATGGACGTGTGATATGCATGGGCAGTAAAATTCTTTCCAAGAGATAAAAATTAAAATGTAAAATAAATGACTAATAGGTGAGACCATGGAAAAAAAAGTGAGGGAAAACAAAATATGAAGCCAAAGATGTAAAAATATGCATGCATGATCATATGATGGCAATGGATGGGGAAGTGTTTTATCATAAAACCTTATCTAGAAATAAATATACTTACACAGTGTGTCCAGGTTCTGTTAGGACTGTGTTCATTAAAAATACAAGACATGAATTACTTTCAAGATTTCACTCTTTTTGTTCAAAATAGTCTCCTTCTGAATCAATACATAGCTGGAATCAATTGAAAATTTTTCGAAAACAGTCACTGTACTCCTTTTGTGGAATCGCATTAAAAACTGTGGTACATTCCCTTTGGATGTCCTGGATGGTGTCGTGACAGTCTCCTTTCACTGCCAACTTAACTTTTGGGAACAACCAGAAATCTGCTGGAGCCAAATCTGGCGAATACGGAGGATGATCAAGGACTTTGATCCCTTTTCTGGCTAAAAAATCGTGCACAATCTTCGATTTGTGGGGTGGGCCACTGTCATGGAGGAGCGACCAGGAACCTTGCTCTTGATATTCAGGTCGAATTCGAAGAATTCTCGCCCACAAATGATTGAGAACTCCAAGATAATAATCAGGATTCACTGTTTGATCTTCTGGCAGAAATTCCTTGTGAATTATTCCTTTGGAATCGAAGAAAACGGTTAACAGTGTCTTTACTCGACTCTTCTTCATGCGCACTTTCTTTGGTTTCAGCTTCTTTGGGCTCAACCAGGCTGCACTCTGCCGCTTTGTGAGAGGCTCATACTGAAAACACCATGTCTCGTCACCAGTAACAATTGATTTTGTAAATTTTGTATCACTTTGGGCCAACCATAACATGTCTTTGCAGTGTTCCACTTTGGCATGTTTTTCATCGCCTGACGGCGCATGTGGTACAAACAGCGCACAGACCTTCCTCGGTCAAAATTTGATGCACACTATTTTTTGGTATTCCCAAAAGCTCCTCAATAAGTCTTGCAGAAACACATCTGTCTGATGCAAGGATTTTGGTCACTTTTTTCACATTTTCTTCAGTGCAAGTTGTTCTTGGCTTTGATGTACGTGGAGCGTCTTCAATGTCCTCTCTGCTGTTACGAGATACAGTATACAACCAAAAAATGTTTGAGCGACTCAATCACTACCATACACACTTTTCAACCCCCATTTTCTGACGAGTGTCAGAAGAGTACTGTTACATTCAAGGTCAGAACACATGATGCAGCGATGCTTGCTCTTTGAAATTATTGACACCCACAGCTGAAACTTCAAGAATCTTAACGTCACAACTCACCAACAGGTGGCACTGCAGGGCTAAATTTAAAAAAATGTGTCCTAACGGATCCTGGACACACCATGTATTAATCATATTCCTTTTGTTTTCCTAATATTTGTTGTATGCAAAAGTAGTTGATATGATTCACACTAATGATCCACAAGAATTTCATTCATGAATTACATTAATTATATGAGTTCAGGATAAACTTTTATAGGAAGATGACTAAAGAGATAATCCTCATAAATTACAGCTGTCACATTTCGTCTCACAATTCATTAACAGGGACAGAAACTTTTACCACTGATTTTGTTAAATATTCCTTATTCCAAATACAGACTACAATTTTCTACAAATAAAGTCAGTAATTTTTAATTTAAATAAGGTGATCTGTTCGAATCTTGAAACCCAAATATATACAAATTATTATATTTACTAATATCTTTATAGATTTTAGTTGCTAGTACAAAGCGTTTAGCTACTCATGAACTAACAACTACCTGGTACACAATGAAGAATAATGAAATAAAATAAATTGACATGATTTTACCTGCATCACTTTGCCATTTGACCCCTTCAGCTGACCTTTACTCCATACCATTGCAAAATCACCATCGTCCCACACATGCTCACCGATGCCGGGTAGAGGAATTGCAGCAGTATTTGTAACATCTGAAACTAAGTCACTAATTAAACACGGCTGCTTTTCTGAATCGGTCTTCCCAGTATTTTGGGTCACAGAACTTCTGTCACTTGGTACTGAAATTATTTTGCTGTTGTTTGATGAACAACAGTCCATTTCTTCATCAAAATCTGAACTAAAGAAGAAATTAAGGTCATCTCCCTGCGTCACATCTTTAAGAACACTTTGTGCAGACTTCTCAGTACTACTTGCAATGGACGTATGTGTCTTCTGTATTACATTTGTCACTGAATCTAATTCGTTTAATGTTCTGGTATTAGTACTGTTACTTCTGGTCTGGTCCATGCCCTGTATCTCTACTTCATGTTCACCATTTCTTAACTCAAAGTCTGCAGCTGCTGATGCAGGCTCATGGCCAAATTCATGCTCTGTGCTTGAACCCAGCATCAGTTCATTGCAATGCAAGTGTGAGTCATGACCATCCTTTTCACTCTGTTCATTCAAACTTGTTTCAGGTACATTTGTATTAGAGGGGCCAACACTGGGCCCAATATCAGTTTCTCTACTGGCAAACCTGCAATCAGGGTTTTGGTTACCACTAGTATACATATTCTTTGTTACAGTCCATCCATTGCATGCCATCTCAGATGCACTTGTTAATGTTTCAGCTTGGACTACATTTCCTAATTTGTTATTTACACATGAGTCTCTTTCTTCATGTGAGACACTTTCCATTAAGTCAGCTCCTGCTGCATTTAGAAACCTCTCCTTACCAATCTGAGTTAAGACAACAGCAACATTTTCTGCTTTGCCACCTACTGCAGTATCCACTTTCAATTGTTTCCACTCCCTCCCTTTCTGTTCTATGCTGTCTGCTTTCCCCCTGTTCATGCCTGATATATGTTGTATGTTAGGTGCATATGTTGATTCTCCTTCACATACAGCTGTTGTATCTGGAGCATTAGACATCTGCCGTGGATCTTCTTTAACCTCATAATATGATGAAAGCAAAATCTCAATTTTTGATAGCACTTCATCCTAAACAAAACAAAGAAACAAATTACTGCTAATAGGTTTGTATAGCATTTGTGATGTTCCTATCAGCTTCAGTGCAGTGGTGCAGTGTATAACACTGAAATATAGGAATATATGTTGAAGCTGAAGTGGAACAGATGTGGACAGGACCAGGTATCCCAGAATTACTGTACTAAGAAATGAACACATGCATATTTTGTTTATGTTCTTCTGTATACAGTAAATTCCATTATCTGGCATGCACAAGGAACGCAGCACACCAGCTACATGAATAAGTTGGCATGACAACTCTTACAGAAACCCAATACAATATTTTGGTTTTATTTCTTGAATGGGTGTCTTCACAGGTGACACAGTATACTGGTAAGTGAAAATCTTTGAATTCATATACTGTAATGCAATCAACTAGCCTCTACTGTAATTTCCAGGGATTAACTAGTGATGGCACCTACTCATCACTGCTAGTGGCAGGTGAACACATGAACATAGCAAGTTTATTTTTTAATTACTTCATAAATATGTTTAATTTTTTTTTTGTGGGGGAGGGGGCAGTTAGATTAGAAATCCAGATGCTTAGATGCCAGATAACTGTGAATTTGATGTACTTATATTTGGACTATATTATACTGTCACAAATGACATTGCTGCCAGAAGACATAAGAGATGACACAAAAATATACAAATATCTTATGTCAAGACTGACTAACCACAGGATGGTATCAAGAACACCCAAGGGATCACTTCAAATTTCTTCCTACAGTATAACACAAATCTAACCATGGAAAAACTCTTTTTGACCCAACAAACAGAAGTGGCAGGGCTAGAACAGAGATTCTCAACCTTTTGCATCTTGCATTACACTGGTCAGTTTATCAAAAACCCATTGTCCCAACATGGTAAGAAAATTGTTTCTTTTTTTCCATGAACTGTAACTGTGATTTTACAATTATGTATATGCTAGGCATTCTCACACCGCTTAAAAATCTGTACCCTAAGAGTTTAAATTAACCAGTCTCAACCAAAAACAAAATCATTCAACATTTAGTTTAGTTCTACCATAAAAAGTTTAACTCAAACTGATCACACTGTTTGGACACTGCTACCTTCAGAGTGACAGAAAGATAACACTTGCTTTCACAAATTTTTGTTTTCAGACATGCAAAAAAGGTGTCAATGGATCATCTGACTTCATAATGTGCAGTATTAAAAGGAATTTGCTTTTGTAACAGTAAGGATAAGGGTACTGTAACTGTTAATACCATATTTCAGTGGTCATGTATCTGAGTTTAAAGGTACCCACAGTGTTCACACTTAGGAATGGACAATACTGTTTCATCATTTAAGTTAATTAAAACACTTCTCATCCCTGACCTAGGCTAACAGTACACAGCTTCTTACCTCTGATAATGAATGGATTTACAAAGCCCTCAAAACACAGCACTCATGAATACTGGAAAATCAGACAACTCACTTCCAGCATGCATAAATAAATGATCACAAAAACATCATAAAGGAATAAAAACTTAAGTACATAAATTAGTATTCAATGAGGTGCCTAATTCATATTAATAAGCAAACAAGCACCACATAAAGATGGTCATCTAAATACGTGCATACCTCTTCCTTCAACAACACTCGTGTTTTGTTTGGTTCGAGGTTGGCGTCCAAACCTCCAGGGGACATAACAATAGACAGAAGACAGAACGGGTACTTATGAGTCAGTGGCTGGCCAGAAAAGCACTCAGCAGTGTACTTCAGCACCATCTAACAACACAATGGAACAGTTGCATTGTTTAAGAACCTGAAGATTTGAAGTGTTTGATTTTTAGGTTCTCACAGCAGTGACTATGAAGAGTATTATCTTCTGGGAAGTGACACTGTGTAGTCTGGTGAACTTCTACTGAAATACATGGCATCACATCCCAGCAGATAATATTGTAAATGAAGTACTGACCGAAAGGTGCTACACGTACCTTTTCTAGCTTCTTATATCGTACAGGGCGTTTGTTGACATACAGCATCATGCACTCAATGTTTGATGAGCACAGTGCTGCAAAATTTTCAGTATCTCTTTTTGGAACCAACATGTCTACATTCAACTGGAAACACAAAAATTTGGCCGATATAACAGAAACATACAAGACATATAAATCAATATTACAATAAAGATAACAATATCAGACATTGTTCTTTCTTCTAAATCTGTATCCAGATATTCCAGGAACTGTGCTGATGGTGAGAAATGTAACATACATAACTGGCATTCTAAGTATGCGCCAGCAACATACAACTGAACCCCCCTTTAATGTTCTTCAATCTAATGTGTCCAACTGTGTTCCTGTCCCCACAAAAGCCTCTGTAACCTACGCTGTTAGCTCTTCTTAGAGTTTTATTTTACTGAAGAGATATGAAGTGACAGGAGGTTGGAGAAAACTTCATAATGAGGAGCTTCATAACTTGTACTCTTCTCCAAGTATAATTAGAATGATCAAGTCAAGGAGGATGAGGTGGGCAGAGCGTGTAGCATGAACAGGGGAGATGAGGAATGCATATAGGATATTGGTGGGAAAGCCAGACAGAACGAGACCACTGGGAAGACCAAGGTGTAGATGGGTGGACAATATTAAAATGGATCTTAGAGAGATAGGATGGGATGGGATGGTATGGATTGGCTTGATCTGGCTCAGGATAGGGACCAGTGGAGAGATCTTGTGAACACAGTAATGAACCTTTGGGTTCCATAAAATGCTGGGAAACTCTAGAGTAGCTGCGGAATTGGCAGCTCCTCCAGAAGGGCTCAGCTCCATGAGGAAGTAAGTTTGTTCTGTTTACTGTTAGTTCTGCATTTTAAGCAGACATACTTATCTCCGTTTATTTTGTTATGGACCTGCAGATAATGCATTCTAGCCTTTTTTTGCTTCAAACTACTATCCAAAAGCATTCATTGTCAAACTATGTTTCATTTTATCACAATCTGTAACACATCCTAACTTCTCTTCAGCTGACAATTTTATAATGGATACTTTACCACTTTACTACTGATTTCAGCATTTTTTGTAATTCTGACTGGATTCTCCAAAAATTTCAAACCCATCAATTGACCTTAAAGAATGAAATATGAAATCCTGTAATTACCTAATTCTTTATTTCTTAATAGCTGTTTCAAAACAGTTCTTCAATACAGATCAATTCTGAAACCATTTTCTTTTGCCTTCCAAGGTTTGGATACTACGTTCCTTGTCCCTAAGCAATGCTACTGATAATTCAACTTTATTCTAGGCCTTCCACGGCCCAAGTTCCATTCTCTGTGGTAAGACACAATTTCGTGGAGCATTGCTCCACTCATTTTTCTACGATACTGTAATCACACTTACTTACCTCCTTAACCAATAACTCCCTATAATCTGCATTATGCAAACTTCTAACATTATAAATATTAAATCTCATATTATGAAACATCACTTAGGTCATTGCAAGAATCCATCCCATTTTGAAGTCACAGAAGTTCATACCAAAAAAATTCTACAGTGAGGAGGGATAACACACACTAACCCCCAAACTGAAGGGTCATACCTTGTCAGATGTCCTACAATTGCTTATTTAGCATATCTGCAGGTATCATCCACAGCTGGAGGCTGCCTCCTCTATCCACAGCATGAAGACATGCCACACTGTGGTGACTGGAAACCTACCTAACTTAGCCTTACATATTTTTCAGTCTAGCGGTCAGAGGTTTTGGCTACAAATCCAGAGGTTCGGGTTCAATTCCCGGCACTACCAGATTTTATGAGAAGTAGTGGGTCTGGAACAGGGTCAACTCAGCCTCGTGAGGATAATTGAGGAGCTATTTCAAAGGAATAGAGGCTCTGGTCTAGAAAACCAAGATTAACGGCCATCGGGATTCATTGTGCTGACCACGCCACACCCTCTACCTGCAAAAGTTGGCACTAAACTTCGCCGTCAAATGGCGGTCGCTTGCTCGGTCAGTATAGTTTGCTTGCAGAATGAAATCACAGAGTTTTGTTTGAGAATCCACATGATAGGGGGTTACTTCAGTATTCTGTTATGCTAATAAATAACAATATTATTTTCTGATTCCAGAAAGTCTATCACCAATATTAGCGCACTTGCCTCTGTTTCTTGCAGCACAAGTTCCTCAAGGTTGTTGGAAATGTGGTACCCAACAACTTGCATCACTGACTGCTGCAAGCTTGTGCAAGCAGCCTTCTGCCATAGTAAGCACTTATTATGACAGAAAGTAACTCGAAGGCTAGGATGAATAACTGCTAGTGATTTAGCTATGTTATCAGCTCGCTTCAGTTCTTCTGCAGCCCTGCGGCCTGCATTCAGGTAATTCTTTCTGACCGGAAGGTTTCGAAACAATTTATTCACAGTCACCAATGTACCTGAAATTTTTAATGATGCAGTGTATGTAACTTCATAACTAATGAAATACAATGACGTCCTCTTTAAAATGTATGTAACAGGGAGAAAAGAATTTCTGATGTGACATTCTCATGGTAGTGGGTCTGAAGATTAACATCTTATTGGACATGACACCATGTACCCTGGTAGATATTTACTGATGTTTGTGAGGAAAATGCCACCTCCATCTTCAGGATAGAAGAGTGAAGGGATAGGGGCCACATGTCGCTCTGAAATGTCTGTAAATATCTACCAGATTACACAGTGTTATATCCCTGAAGACATAAATCTTTCAGTTCTGACAAAGTTTACTGACGTGACAATATAAGTTACAACATGTGGAATTCATCATTAGAAGGGGCAACTTTTACTCTGAAGGATGGGACATAAAAAACCTTCAATATTTAATTAAAACATATTTTAATGTAATTTGACATTGGAGAAATATATTGATGCAACTCTCATTTCCACACAAGTCTTCCAATTAAATCCTTCTTACCTTTAGCAAAATGTGACGGTTTGGTGGCAACAATGTTTCCATCATGGTTTAAGGTGTATACCATAGCAAGTTCATCTTCATTTGTCCGAGTTGTCACAGTAACATCTGCCACACGACATATAGCACTTAAGGCTTCACCACGAAAACCATAGCTCTGAAGTTTGTCTAAAATATGACAATTAACAGCTGATAATCCAGAGTTATTGTTTATAGAATACAAGGTACAGTATCACTGGTACAAAGCAGGTAACTCCACCAGTTTCCCATCCCACCATTTATGTGCTCTTTCATGCCTCTGAAAGTCTGTTGAGTCACTCCTCCCTACACCTTGTTTTTTATTTGTTTCAAGTCAAATTAGGATACGATATGATTAAAAAAAGTGTGTTCAGTTCATTTAAAGAACAAGAAGCCCACAGTTAAATTGTAAAATTTCAGATCATAAAATAGTTGAGGAAACAATTCAAAGCAACCTAAAATGTCAGTAGTGGCACACAAACGATAGATCCAAATAAGAGTATTAAATCTGTAAGAGAATAAACTTCTGACACCAATTTGGGCCAGAGTTACAGATATCTGGCTCAACATGTGGAGAATTTAAGTAAATTTTAAATTTCAAAATGCTGCATTCATGGTATTAACTTGCACAAGAAAATTTATCATTTACTTGAAAGATTTAATGCACACACCAAATGTCATTAAAATCCTTAGTAATCATGTAATCTGTGACGACATGCTTGCTTGTCTTTATGTACTGACTTTTAGGCTAACAAGATTATCATTAAAGAGGTTATACAATATCAGCTCAAATGAGAAGGTTATTATTGAAGTAATTACAGAAGAACGTGCACACAGCAGTCTTTTCCTCTTTCACGGTACAGCACACAAGGAATAAGGAAAACTATGAAATAATACAATGTGCAACACTAACCTTCTCAGTGCAATTCTCTATAGAAAGGCTTCAGCAAGTTTGAAAATATGTTGCTAATATTCCTGCTAAGTATAGTTCTGTGTATACTCAGATATCTTAGTTGTTTTATCAGATGTATACAGAATGACAAATTACATAATGCATGTCTCCGTTTGTACCACAATTTAATATACATGATTCAAGTTTAATGTGAGCCAAGAAACCATAACGATGCTATTTATTCACCTACTTATTGTATGATTTTCTTACGATGTTGTCAGTTCAGACTACAGGGTATTAGTACAGGAAGTTTAAATGCTGAAGACAATGTATATAACAGTGATTTTAAAATAACGGACAGAAAGTACATGAATGTCTAACGTAAGCTTTCCACTTACCAAGATCTGCATATCCACCTATTTTTGACGTATAACTTGGCAGACACATATACGGAGTGTCTGTTCTCTTAATGCCACAGCCGTTATCCTTTACGTCAATCCGATCAAGTCCGTTATTTTCCTGAAACAGTAGTATTTAACAAATTTTCATCTGGCAAAATTTCAGATGTTAATATTTCTATTTGCAACTTGTCATACTTACAAGTATTACATCAATACTGGTAGCTTCACCGTCCAGTGCATTTTCCATCAACTCTTTCACAACACCTGAAACAGATGTTACTATCTGTGTACTTGTTATGAGTTTTACTGTTGACGATGGAAGTTGTTTCATGGGCATTTTCCACAATTATAGACAGCCTCAGCTTTTCCTATATTTATAACAAGATATTTTAGCCGAAATCCATTGCTTAGGTTAAGCCAATCACCCACGCAGAAATCACCCATTCACGTTATTCCGCGCAAAATGTGTTGCCAACATTTCTCTTACTGCGATGCCAACTTCTATTCCTAAGTAGCTACCTTCACGCTAATCGGCACGCTTGCGCGGTGGCTCTAAGGAATGCTTACCCTGTGCGCGCTTTGTGTGTTAGATTTTAGGTCACAGTATTATGTGGAAAATATGAAATGTCAAAGCTCGGCAGCTTTATATACTCATCAAAAGAGCCTAGTCTTGCATGCCAAACTTAGGTGATGACATTCTTTGCGTTTAGGATCACAAAAAGTACCGGAAGAACTCGTGTTATTTAAATATTGACGGGCCAATGTAAATTTATAGCATAAAGATAAAATGGAACATAACTTCAGAGCTAGAGTGCTGGACTCATGGATATATCGTCACACGATCGAGTCCTAGTCGAGGTACTCTTCATTTTGTTGTTTGCAATTGCAAATATGTTACCAAGTATTGTTTGTGTGTGTGTGTGTGTGTGTGTGTATGTAGGAATTAGGTTAACCTTCCACACAACAAAATATACCCGCAATTTACAATTCGACTTTTAATTTCTGTTACATATTTCGGTCGTACAAGACCTTCATCAGGCAGTTATAATACGTTTAGTTATTTAAATACCGATAGGGATCCACACCAGTGCAACGTGTCATATTATATCCTCATTCATTCATCAATAATCTGTCAAGACGACAGGTACACAGTCTCTTCCAAAACAGTTCCTCCACTTGATGCGATCTAGAGCTTTCTCCTTCAAATGAAAATATCCTCTTCTGTCCCCAAGGTCATCCAGCATCTTCTTACGCCTTCTTCCTCGTCTTCTGGTCACTTCTATCCGCCCTTCTATCTTTCTTCAGTAACTTCTTTTAGAAGGCAGTTACCGCGTAATTATATACTAAGAGATACAATTTGCCTCAGTTTGGTAAGTATTACAATTAAAATGGAAGATACAAAGTAAGATAAAATATAAAAATGACATATACACCATATATCAAGATGCATTAAGTGATACGTGTTGAATATATTATGGAAATATTAAAAATATTAAAAATGCTTAGAAATGTTTAAAATATTTAGTATGGGAGGTTAAGAAATATGTATGCCAACTTAATTCTTAGGTTCCAATGCTACAGTGTAGAACTGGGCTTGTTACTGTATGTCATACGTAGGCCTTCGTTGTTAGAAGCTTTCTACGTAGTAAGCCCGGTCGTGGACTCCAGAGCCAAGTTTCTATCTGCAAGAATGAATATGATGTACGGGCTGTTAATGTGTGATATATTAGTTATGCATATTTCACGATATGTATCTTTATATGATCATAAAATATGACGTAGGCGTTTCATCTAGGCGTATATATGTTCGGTGTGTTCTACCTCTATTTTGAGGGGACATTTATTATGTCCTGCTTAAATCGAGATTCTGTCTACGTCAAATTTATCGAGTGTAAACTTAAAGATTCGTTATGATTTTAATTGTAAAGTTAAAAGCAGTGGTATCTTCTGGGATATAACGCCGTGTATTCCGTTTGAAGTCAACCGACGTTTCAAGGGAACATATCTCCTCCGTCTTCAGGGTCGGAGAATAAACTGAGCAAGATACCTGCGTGAAAGCGAACAGATGTGGCTCTGCTCCTGCTTGCCACCTGCTTTCAGGCTGGTATCTTGCTTGGATTATTCTCCGACCCTGAAGATGGAGGCAGTATGTTCTTACGAAACATCAGTTGACTTTCAACGGACTATACTAAACTCAAATCCTACTTACATGCAGTATTTCACTTCAAATTCATAATTATGTATACGCGTTATCTCCGTACCATATTTCACATGCTTAATGGTTTATTAATTATCTTAAATCTCAAAGATACAGTTTTATTTTGTTGTTTTAAGCTCTACGAAACCTTTCAAAAACAGAAAATTGCATATTTTTCGAACATCTGTCACCATAAATAATTTCGGAAGTCTCGATCTCCCCTGACGAGTTCGTTCGTCCGCTATGTTGTCATTACCAACTGCTGGAAATGAAATGTACGCGGTAGGATCGGCCCACAATGGCACAACGTTCATACCACATTTTGTGGAAATCAGTTAACTAGTTCAAGAGCTTAAATAGACACACATATACTACAGCACTTTTATACATCTATTTGGGGGAGGGGGAAGTAAAAAATAAGTAAAAATAGCTCTGTTGACGGTTGCAGTCGAATACTGATTTACAAAACAACTGTATTTCTTCTCTTTCCTTTTTCTTTTATGAAATGAGAACGTAAACAAATTAAATTATATTTCATAATAATTATTTTTACAATACCAATTATAAACAAAAATTATTCCTGTAAGCGGCAGCATAATTCTTAATGTAACGCAGTTGTAAGGAAGAAAACGGTTAGAAATTCTTCTCAAAATTCAACCTCAATTATAGTTATAAGAACAGTAATTGAAGTCCATAGGTATTTATTTATTTATTTATTTATTTATTTTTTTGCGAATCATCAATTAAAACAAGTGGAAATGACATGCTTGGAATTCCATGCCAGTGGAGCTGACAAGTTCCAACAGATTGGATACCAAGATACAGCGGTAACCTAATGCGTTTCAATTCCGTGAATTCTCATGCGCAGATTAAAAAACTAAAATAATACACAAAACAAAAAAAAAAACTCCGTAAAAATTTACCGTGACTGAAATGGTTTCCCTCAGGATCTTTCGATCTGGGCTGATGAGTTTCTTGGAATGCGACTGCAGTATCTTACACGAAAGAAACGGTACTGCAGAAATAAATCATGCAGCACTCCAGTAAGATGCAGTCCTGCTTAGAGATTAAGCTTAATATCTTAGAAGCAGTGCCTCTGCTGCAAAATTCAGCAGTACAATGCATACTTGATAGAAAATTAAGCAAGACGTACGTTAACCATCAAAACGGAGCCGAAGTCGTGACACTATGAAAGAATTCGTTACTCTTGAAATAACTATAACTTGTAATAGAGTGCGTTCTACATCTTGATGAAAGCATTTATCTCCCTCTTCCTAAGCCCATTCAATAGCGAATGCTTAACTGACATGAATACATTGTAAAATCTCAACATTGCCGTACTGAAAAGACCAGTGCTGGAAGGTTTTATCGCCAAACAGATCAGCGTGTGTGGGGCCCGATTTCAGTACGTTGTGATTCCTCCCCGCCTCCTCGGCCAACTCCCCCCCCCCTTCCTGATTAATCCAACCACGAATATGATGTCGTCTGCATTCCAGGATACGGTTGCTGCTATGTCGTTAATACAGAACAAAGCTCACGATACTTTCATTAAAAAAAGACAGTCTTTACCGGTTCCACCATTTTCACTTGCAGCGCCTTTGCATTCCGTTGAACTTTCGTGGGTAGTGTTGGTTGATTTGGTTGTATCGTGGCTGAATTCCAGTGAACAAGAAGGTCTAGAAGCTTTTGCCGAATAAAGAATAACTATTTTCCTGTCCATATTATGTACGCTGAGTTGTTCACAATAATAATTCCTCGGAGGCAGACAAAGAATGGCACTACATGAATGAACACGGATAATTAGAGGGCTTGTTTAAAGAACACGAAGTCCGGTGTACACTAACTCAAGACTCCCACGGCCCCTAACGTCACGTGTTCGAACTACGAAGGAAGCGCTGATAGACTTCTTCGGAAGGCAGTGGGAGGTATCGACAACAAAGAGAGGGTATGTTTCGTATCCATTTTCAAGCATTTTTCTTAAGTTTTTTTCGTGCAAAGATAAGCACGAAATGATCTCGATACTGACCGAACTGTCAATCAGCCCGGAACAACTGAATTATTTGCTATGTCCGAAAACTATCTAGAGGTCCTTTTTATACATACAGCTAACATGACCGAAATTCTGTTTATACTAATTCTACAAGCAGGATGGTCGCGGGATCGAATCCCGATGAGGTCATTAGATTTTTTTTTCAATTTACCTAATCCTTCCAGCGGCACTATGATCCTGGGTTCGACTCATCATCTGACAGAAATGAGTACCAGGAATATTCTTGGGGTAAAGGGAGGCCGGCGGGTAAGACTGACAACCTTACCGCCATCTCTGAGCCGATTGTCTAGAAAATGTGGGAGCCTCAACATCTCACAAACCTATGGGCCTCCAAGGCCTGTTACAGGCATAACTTTACTTTTTTTTACTAACACATAACACATATTTTGTTAGAAATGACTGCGTCACTACAACGTTTCATGCCTCGTCTAAAAATGTATATATGTTTATTCCTTTTCGGAGGAAAGAGTTTATGTACAGAGCCGGAGAGACAGAATGGTCATTTTGGAGGCTTTCATCCCTCTGCGCTAAAGGAGTCTGGGTTATGAAGTAGGCCACGACTGTGACTCTTTGGTTCTTAATCAAAACCAAATAGACAGAAAACAGAGAAAGAGATTGGGTCCTAAAATAAACGCAATGACTCCAAGACTTAGACCTCACAGGATACGTAGAAATTAAGTTTTTCCCAAAGTAGGAAGTCAGTGCTTTTGTGTGATGTTCTTCTTACTCGCATAGTTTCGATTATTCTTCAAATTTTAATATAACAATTGATATGAAAACAATAATTATGGACACATTACAAGGATAACAAAGCAACGTTCCCTCAATTCTTAATTAAGCATCACGAAGTGAGTAAGTACGGCGGAGTGGATGCTGTGGAGAAGAGATTTTATTTTTTCCTGCCGAGAATCGAAACTCGATTCCTTAGTCGTCCATCCCGTGACCTAATTACTATACCGACTATCACATTCGTACGATTTCTCTGAAAAAAATGCTTTTCCATAGTTCGCTTAATGGTACTGCATTACAGCCAATTGCAGACGCTGGAGCATTTTTTTATGTTAGTGGGGCAGGACAGCTCAAGCCGTTAGTCGCTGGCTTCCCACCGCGGCGGCCCGGGTTTGGTCAAGTGGGATTTGTGGTGGAAAAAGTGGCGCTGGGGCAGGTTTTCTCCGAGTACTTCAGTTTCCCCTGCCAGTCTTCATTCCACCAATTGCTCCACAATCGCCCTCACCTATCATCTGGGGCTGGTACAATAGGCCAGAAGTGGCCACAGTACAAGGGACTTAGTCCCACCCCACTGGCATAAAAAAAAAACCGTTTCAGGCATGGCGCGGCCCTGATGCTGGAGTAAGACGATGCGAGAAAAGCCATGAGAGGCGAGTAGGACCTACGGAGCGATGTGAAATGGGAGAATGCATTGGCCTAGAGCACGAAACAAATCGGGACCACTTAACGGGATAGCATCGCAATAAAAGTTTGTAAACCTGTTTAGAAAAAATGTAAATATCCATCATCTGTTCGTGCTGAGTAAATATTCTTAGATGCGTTGGCAAACCAGCGGAGCGCTTTAATATACGCTTAGTCCTTCCGTACGTATTCATGGAACAACTCGAAAAGTTGTAAAAGGATTTTCAAGATATTTTACAAGTGAGAATTTTACGAAGAACTGACGCGTTGCTTCAACTCTGTAGATTGGCCACGTTTATTGATTTGACCTGTTGTCCTCCGGAGCCGGAGTAGCGCAGTCGGTACAGCGACTGGACAAGGGCTTGACGACCGAGGGGTCCCGGTAGGGTCTAGACCGGCTCTGGGATCCAACCAACCTCCTATCCAATGGGTACCGGAGGCTCTTTCCCCGGATGTTAAGCGGCCGGGGCGTGAAGCTGATCACTGACCTCCAACTAGTGCCGAAGTCAAGAAAACGTGGATCTACACAGTGTGTCCACGTTCTGTTAGGACCGTGTTCATTAAAAATTCAAGACGCGAATTCTTTTCAAAATTTCACTCTTTATATTCAAAATAGTCTCCTTCTGAATCAATATATATAGCTGAAATCGATTGAAAACTGTCACTGTACTCCTTTTGTGGAATCGCATTTAAAACTGCGGTAAATTCCCTTTGGATGTCCTGGATGGTGTCGTGACGGTCTCCTTTCATTTCCAACTTAATTTCAGGAACAACCAGAAATCTGCTGGAGCCAAATCTGGCGAGTACGGAGGATGATCAAGGACTGTGATCCCTTTTCTGGCCAAAAAATCGCCCACGATCTTCGATTTGCCTATCTGCCTATTTGCATTGCCGTGGAGGAGTGACCAGGAAATTCGCTTTCGATATTCAGGTCGAATTCGAAGAATTCTCGCCCACAAACAATTGAGGACTCCGAGATAATAATCAGGATTCACTGTTTGACCTTCCGGCAGAAATTCCTTGTGAATTATTCCTTTGGAATCGAAGAAAACGGTTAGCAGTGTCTTTACTCGACTCTTTTGCATGCGCACTTTCTTTGGTTTCGGCTTCTTTGGGCTCAACCATGGATCAATCTGCCACTTTGTGATAGGCTCATATTGAAAACACCATGTCTCGTCACCAGTAACAATCGATTTTGTAAATTTTGTGTCACTTTGGGCCGACCGTAACATGTCTTTGCAGTGTTCCACTCTGGCATGTTTGCCCAAATCCTAGGTAAAAATTTGATGCATAGGAGCTTTTTGGTATTCCCAAAAGCTCCTCGATGAGTCCTGCAGAAATACATCTGTCTGATGCAAGGATTTCAGTCACATTTTTCACATTTTCTTCGGTGCGACTTGTTCTCGGCTTTGATGCACGTGGAGCGTCTTCAATGTCCTCCCTACCGTCATGAAATACAGCATACCAACGAAAAATATTCGAGCGACTCAAACAATCATTACCGTACACACTTTTCATCATTTCGTACGCTTCTCCGGCTGGTTTGCCTAACTTCAAACAAAATTTGATGTTGGCTCTCTGTTCAACCGCCATTTTCCGACGAGCGTCAGAACAGTACTGTTACATTCAAGGTCAGAACACATGATGCAGCGATGCTTGCGCTTTGAAATTATAGACACCCACAGCTGAAACTTCAAGAATCTTAACGCCACAACTCGCCAACAGATGGCACTGCAGCGCAAATTTTAAAAATATGAGTCCTAACGGATCCTGCACACACCGTGTATACATTCACTCCCCCATACATCTTCATAGCGTAATGCCTAATTAGTTAAGCAAGAGAACAACTTTATCTTACTTTATCTGTAGTCCTCCATACGCTTCTCTGCTCATCTCGCTAAATGTTTATTGAAGAGGGAAATATTTGGATCATAAGTTACAGACAAAATTTAAAGACATTTTACACTAATTATATGTTACCCTTAAGTCTTATGGTTTTCGAGATAATTAAGCAAAAGGAATGTTGCGAGACAAATTTTTAAATTTCGTATTCTATAAGTAACCTTGGCCTCTGGAACAAAATCCACTCTTAAGAAATAAAAATACAGATGAAAATCTGTATCGAGTTGAAACTACTTTAAAATTACGTTAACTTTATCCTTATATTACAATAAGTTTTGAAGCACACATTAAACAAATTATATATATACACGTATATAAGTATAAGAATGTAGAGCCGTTACTAGGTAGCGACCGCGAGATAGGCAAATACACTAGAGCCGTTGCTGGATAAGAGTCGTAAACAAATTCCTCCACAGCAATGAATCAACACTCAACAACAGAAGAACTGTTGGAAACGGCGTTTTCTACGTGGTCTGTGCCGAGGGATTATAAGCGAGACGAAGTTTATAGCTGAGTTAAATGGTCACACCCGTGTGTAGGCGGGGTCTAATACCTCTACCGAGACCCTGCGAGTCGTCAATAAATATCGGCGTGGCCTAAGGTATGAAATGTCTTCGATTGCTCGAACATTGGAATCGTGGGTTCGAATTCCACTCAAGGCATGGATGTCTGTATGCTTTATTCCGTGTTTGTGTTGTTCTGTGTGTAGGTAGCAGCCTTACGACGGGCTGATCCCCCGCTCAAGAAGTCCTACCGAGTGTGTGCAGGATTAAGAAATTGAAGAAGCGGCCAAGGTTCAATAAAGGACTGTGGAACCGTAGATAGATAGATCCAATCATCCGAAGCCCCCTCAAGAGTCACACACGGGCGTGATAACATTTAATTTTCATTTGTAGTGCATAATAACAGTAAATACTAAAGCCCTGATGCTGATTGTTTATTCATTCGTTAAGCATATATATAGTTTTGCATTCTTTCCAATTTCAGTATCGTAATTAAAGACAAACACCTACATGTCAATTTAATAAACGCTTTTACAAGGGAAGAATGTATCACTGTTATCCTGGTGTTATTTGTACATGGTTTTATGGTTGCAATGAAATTCGGCTCAGTAAACTTAATTAAACTATCGCAGTCTTAATTATTTATTTTATAATTCCTGCTGCTCCATGGGTCTGCTAAGTGTACACTAGCCGGCTTTTCACCGTGGCGGCCCGGACTTGAATCCAGGTCAAATAACGTGGGATTTGTGGTGGACAATGTGGCACTGGGGCAGTTTTTCTCCTCGTACTTTGGTTTCCCTTGCCAATTCTTGTTCCACCGACTGCTCCACATTCATCATTTATCATCCGGGACTGAACAATGGGCCCGATATACCAAGTGGACTCAGTCTCACCCCACTCCACGAAAATAAAAGGAAAGTGTACACTATATAGGTCCACGCCATAGCTCAACCG